AAAAAAACATAAAAAAATCATTTTTGTTATATTGAATAGTGAAGAACTATGATTTTGGCCGGTTCCTCATTTTCTAAGCCAAACACATCATCGATATTTAGAATTATTCTTATCCTTAATAAGAAAATTAAGAAAATTATAAGAAAATGGGAAAATTCTACTATATAATTCGTACCATTCGGGAATTTTTCTGGCCCAGTCGCACTTTCCGGTGCGTTCGTCGAACGCCTGGCCGAGTTTGCATCCGCTTCGCCTCGGTATCTCACCGTTGACACACACGTAGAAGTACTGACAGTCCTCGGCGTCGGGATAACGCGGATGCGTCGCGGCCACCGAGTCGTCGACCTTCGGGCAAGTGAAGTTGAAGAGTTCGCGGGAGCCGCAGCCCTTCTTCTGCGCCTCGTCCGGCCAGTTGCAGATGCCGGTCTTCTCGGAGAAGACCAGACCATCCGGACAAGTGATCATGTTGAACTTGCCCTCCACGCAGTAGTAGAAGGTATTACAGTTCCTGGGGTCCTCGTGGGCAAAGTAGCCGTGCATGCGGGGACAGTGTGGCGATGATTGTGGTTTTTCTGTAAGAGGAATAGATATAAAAATTTAGTGTAAAAAAAAGAATGAAATCTTTCAATATCAAAACAGATGATAAAATAAAATAAATTTTCGAAATATGTGTATTATTCAAAGATGCACGTGTAATATTAACATTTTTTTAAATAATACTTTCGAATCACTTGACTCGTGTCATGAATCGTTAAGGCTGATTCGCAATTCGCAGGCGCAGAGAAAAAAAGAAAGAACCGTGGAAAAAAAAGAAAAAAAGAGAGAAACGTCATCTTGCGTCCGCGTTTGCGAACTGCGTTTTGCATGTTACGACTTATGTAGACGGGCCTTAGCACGAATCGCGGATTAGTTCTCTCGAGTTTCAGACACGATTCTCTGTTACACGCATATATTTTTTTACATATATTTTTTTTTACAGATACATGCTCGCGCTGGCATTCATCGGAAAAGCGGCTTCGCTTCTTTTCTTCTTCTTAGCGTGGTGGACGTACGTCCCGCCGAGCACCAGAGGCATCGATCAGAATTCCCGGCAGCAAACGACAGCTACTTTAATGCTAAGCGACACGTCTCAAGAAATTGAAATAGTACCGACTACGATAGCGTAATCTCGGATTAGTTCGTGTTTTCCTTATTTTTTTTTTTT